ACTTCTTAATTTTTTACACTTTTTTTAAGCCAAATAATTTGCTCTGTGTCAAAACTATGTAAATGGTCAATGTGAAAAAAAAAACAAATATTACATGATATAACTATAAAAGATTCCATGAATGTAATAAATTACATGTGGCCAATGTGTAAAAATTGGAAAAGTAGCACTCACTGATATAGGAATACATATATCATACACACGAAAGGTTAAATAATGTTGTGTTGTCCCTTTAAGTAAATCATAAATATTCACAAAACTAATAATGTAAACAAAAATACAAATAACAATGAACCCAAGCACCTATCACATGAGTGAAATCAGTGCTCATATATGATATAATTCAATTAAGTCCAATAATAAACACTGGAGCAACAGTGATACTCTGTGCAAATGCTTCTTTTTTTTACCACATCAACACATAAAGAAGCGTATCAGATTCCTAGACTCCATTATTAAAGAGGTCTAAATGCACTTTATCTCAATGGTGTGAAACACAGGCAGAAAGGGATACAGGTCTCCAGCTCATCGAGTCCAACTAGATCAGACCAGACAATATTGAACCATAGGAAAATGAGAGGGGAGACTCCAAAATGTAACAAAATGTTGACACCTTTAGTAGTATAAGTAGAGGTACTCACAATATCAGAAGCATTAAGACATATAAAACACACCACTTCACTCCAGCCAGTGAGGGAGAATGATGACATTACTGCTAAACCTCAGCTCAACGCTTCTTTCTGGCACCTCGACCAAACAGCTAATTTTTGTTCAAGTATCACCGTATTGTACTCCTTAAAAACAACCACACCATCTTTTTCCAGAGCAGCCTGTTTTTCTTTTGAGGTTACCTGTGGGTTTTTTCTCTGAATCCCGAACAATTCTTCTGTCAGTTGTGGCTGCAATCTTTCTTGGTCTACCTGACCTTAGCTTGGTATCAAGAGATCCCCAAACTTTCCACTTCTTAATAGGTGATTTAACAGTACTGATTGACATATTCAAGGCTTTGGACATCTTTTTATGTCCTTTTCCATGTTTATAAAGTTCCATTACCTTGTTACGCAGGACTTTTGACAGCTCTTTTCTGATCCCCATGGCTCAGTATCTAGCCTAGTCAGTGCTTCCATGTAAGAGCTAACAAACTCATTGACTATTTATACACTGATACTAATTGCAATTTAAAAAGCCACAGATGTGGGACATTAACCTCTAATTGGCATTTTAGCCCATGTGTGTCATCTTGTGTGTCTGTACCAAGGACAAACATTCCAGGGTATGTAAACTTTTGATTATGGCTGTTTGGGTGATTTCTTTTATCATTATGATTTAAAAAGGAGCCAAACAACTATGTGATAATAAATGGCTTCATATGATCATTATCCTTCAATAAAAGAGCATTTTTTTTGCATGATCAGTCATATTTTCAATATCAATGCCAAAATTTCACAATTTCTGCCAGGGTATGTAAACTTTTGAGCACAACTGTATATTTTCTTATGGAGATGATATATACATTTGTTTGACATAGTGCTCGGAATCTCTAATTGCACCTGTGAATAATAAGAGATTATTATGTGAGAACTTATTGATCAAAAGGCATTATCTGGTACTTCCTGTGCTGGCGCATCTGCTATGCCTTTCAGTACTGACTCTGTTGTTTGGATTACTTTATTACACAAGAAACCCAAGCATTTATATTCGCGGAACGACCAGGGGCATCCCTAGGGTTGGTGTCACCCAGTGCGGTAACACCTGGTGTCAACCCTCCGACGATCCCCGCAGGATGGATCGGATCTGCGGATTGGGCATAATGGATCGGAGTCCGATCCATTATCCTCCCCAATCCGCAAATCCGATCCATCCTGCGAGGATCGTCGGCTTGTATCCTATACGGGGTTAACTGATCTCTCCACAAAAAGGTAAGTTTTAAAGCAAGCCAATAATCACCGCAAGATGGATCGGATTTGCGGATTGGGGAGCATAATGGATCGGACTCCAATGGATTCAGATTCCAATACGCCCCCTGCCGCCAGACCCCCATATACACTGGGCAAGTGGTAATGAATAGGCGCTGTCTTTAGCATTAAACGCATATACCTGCCAGCCATCCACTGTATTTCCACTGTCTGTATTAGTTTTATCCTGGTTCAATAAAGTGGATTGTTTAGAGTGCAGCCGATTGGATTTCCTTTGTTCTCATCTATGCAGTACACGAGCTGGGCTAGCACCTGCAGGAGAAGTTGTGCTTGGCGATAGGGAGTCTCTCTACCTTGAGCAGTGGTAAACATATACACTGGGCAAGAGTTGTTGGAAAAAAAGACCTTATCCTCCTCAATGGATTAAGGGTCTTGTATGAATTTTGGGCATGGGCACTCAAAGTAATTTTTTTTTTCATTCTTGCTGTGCCATATGCTACAGAAAAAATTACAGTAATAAAGAAAACAAATTTAAATTGTTAAACTGCAAGTGAAATTAAAAAAAGAATGCACAAAAAAACCCTCCAAAGGTCCCCAAAAATACATAGAAGACTCTTGAGGGGTGCTCTGTGTGCTGTCTTTTTTTTTGTTTTTAACAAAGAAGCTGGCAGTGACAGCTGTCAAAGTTTTTTGACTGACATTTTAAAACTTTTTGCCATTATAAACATAAAAATAAAAAATAGAATTTGTTCAGTTTTTTTTCCATTGTTATATGTTCCCCAGAGCAGTGACTACCCCCATGTTATTTTTACACCGCCTTGAATATTAGCTCAGAAAATGGCCTTTTTAATTTGATCAGTTCACCTCTCATTGATTTCAATTGAGTTTGGTGTACAAACTTTTTTGAAGTTCCGCAAACCCCTGCTGTACCAAACCCAGGGCTGTTCAGCTAGTTTCCAAACTCTACTGGTCCTTGACCTTCATCTTGATTATGATTTGGTGCCTTCTTGCTCGACCTTTACTGTGACTTGTGACCCAGCTTTGATCTCTACTGGTCTTGGTGTATTATGGGTGCCCTCACCGCTGTGCTTCTCCTTACTTGACACAAATGCTCTCAAGTTCAAGTCTTTGGTTACAGCTTCCTGGCATTGCTCTTGCTGCCCCTGTCAGAGGTGCATGGATGGGAATTGTACAAGAGGCTGCCCTCGTGATCTCAAGCTCCTCATATGGGTATATGACAAAAGTAGTTTGACCTGAACTTGACCTGAAGTCGCATTTCAGCTTTACTAAACACACAACTTCAAAGATATAAGTTTGTATTCTGTTTGACTACTTTAATTGTACAGACATTTCTAGTGCATACACAGTAATGGCAGCCCACGTAATGACATGTGACCCAGTGCTATACTAGAAATATAATTGATTCCTCCAGTGGTTGGTAGCACTATGAATCAGAGATAGGTGATATTCTAGTTATTAATTTAATAGTAGGTTGCATTAAATTAAGTTCATTGGGAATTTCATAGTGCATTAAACAACAGAATTCAGCCTTTTCAGAGAGCCTTCTCTTGGGTATTTATTTGCATTCGTTTAGAAAAGTTAATTGTATGTAATGACTGCATTTAGTGAAAAGGCACGCTCACGAAATTTGCTTTTTAATGTGTTTCCCCTGTATGTCAAGCCATTTCATGGATATTAATGTTGATGTTCTAAATTATAAGTACTATACAGTTTGAGGAAAGTCAAAGAAAAAAAAGTACACACATATTAAAGTGTATGTTTCCTTCTTAGTTTCAAAATGTGTTAAAATATATGTAATAAATAAAACAGATTATATATATATATATATATATATATTTTATCTCACTACCCCCTTAGGAGTTACAAGAGATTTGGGTCCCCCTATAGTCCTGCACAGGCAGACAACACGCATTTCCTTCACTCGCATTAGACTTGCATTAGGAGTTAGTAACCAGTCCTTGAGCTTTGTTTTGACGTTGTATTAAGGAATTTAGGACATGGATGGGGTAAGGGGTGTATAGGATGCCCAAGGGAAATGGCAACTGAGGACACACTTCTTAGCAACTACAAGTCTTTATAGCAAAGTTTCTCTTCTAAAGAGCTAGCAAGCATCTCCTGTAGTACCACCCCAGACCATAGATGACTCCTCTTCTCATCCAGATGTACTGGGTGAATTGCTGGGTAGGGAATCCAGTGCCTGCCCCTGCAGTGTGAAACGGTCCCGGGTAAGATAGCAAATCTAATTCCACACTAGAGTGCTCCTTTCCCCTTACTAGTCCAGGGGGTGCAGGTTTACTCACTTGGTCCCTCTCATCTGCTGCTGTGGGTCGGTGGCTGCTACTGGGCCTTCTAGCTGGGCCGCTCCTTCCCTGCCATACAGGTGGTCCTCTCTCAGGGGGCCGGTGAAGTTCCAAGTTTACAGCCTTCCAAAAGATCCTGTGCCTGCAGGTGAGCCCCTCTTCATCTGACTCCCTCACAGACTCCTGCCTCCAGCCTCACATTTCTCTCTCACTCTCTCTCTCTTCCACCTGAACTTTCCTGCTGCTGACCAGGCTCAATCACTTTTAAGGGTTGTCCTGGCCCCTTTCCAAGCCAGGATTTCTCAAAAGTGCAGATCAGCCACTCTGCAGATCCACCCCATTGCTTCTAGACTTTTCTAGAGCAGGGCAAGTTCTAGAGCAAAAGGAAATGCCAGAAGAGCTAGTCTGCAGAGCCTCTCAGCCCTGACCACAATTTGACATCCCACTGACTGTTGCACCAGGCTGCTACTCAACCTCTGCCTAATAATTAGAATCTAGCACCCCCTAGCTAGCCTCAAACATGCAGATCTGGGCCTCCTCCACCCCTCTTCCTGGACGTTTCTGGAAATGTGGGAGAGCTCCAGAAGCCCTGACCTGAAGAACCTCCCAGCCTGTCCTGAGGTGAAACCCTGCCTCACTCCCAGGCTGACTCATTGCTGACTCAATACATACCGTATTTTTCACTCCATAAAACTCACCTGACCATAAGAAGCACCTAAGTTTTAGAGGCGGAAAGCAATAAAAAAAAATTCTGAACCAATGGACTGCAGACATAGTACAGGAGATGACCAGAGACTGCAGACATAGTACAGGAGATGACCAGAGACTGCAGACATAGTACAGGAGATGACCGGAGACTGCAGACATAGTACAAGAGATGACCAGAGACTACAGACACAGTACAGGAGATGACCGGAGACTGCGGACACAGTATAGGAGGTGACCGGAGACTGCGGACACAGTATTGGAGATGACCAGAGACTGCAGACATACTACAGGAGATGACCAGAGACTGTGGACAGTACAGGAGATGACCAGAGACTACAGACATACTACAGGAGATGACCAGAGACTGCGGACAGTATAGGGGATGACCAAGAGACTGCGGACAGTACAGGGGATGACCAGAGACTGCAGACAGTACAGGGGATGACCAGAGACTGCGGACAGTACAGGGGATGACCAAGAGACTGCGGACAGTATATGGGATGACCAGAGACTGCGGATAGTACAGGAGATGACCAGAGACTGCGGACAGTACAGGGGATGGGATGACTAAGAGACTAAGAGACTGCGGACAGTAAAGGGGATGACCAGAGACTGTGGACATAGTACAGGGGATGACCAAGAGACTGCGGACAGTACAGGGGATGACCAGAGACTGCGGACAGTACAGGGGATGACCAAGAGACTGCGGACAGGGTGCAGGGGATGACCAGAGACTGCGGACAGGGTGCAGGAAATGACCAGAGAGTGCGGACAGTGCAGGGGATGACCAGAGACTGCAGACAGTGCAGGGGATGACCAGAGACTGCAGACAGTGCAGGGGATGACCAGAGACTGCAGACAGTACAGGAGATGACTAAGAGACTGCTGACCTTTGGGGAGGGAGTCTCTTAGTCTTTGACAGACTTTTCTAGAGCAGGGCAAGTTCTAGAGCAAAAGGAAATGCCAGAAGAGCTGGTCTGCAGAGCCTCTCAGCCTTGACCACAATTTGACATCCCACTGACTGTCTTTGACAGGTACCCGCTCTCCCACTTCCGCAGCGTTGTCCTACCTTCAGTGTGCATGCGTGAGAAGCACTGCGCTTTGTGATTGGTCCGGTGTCTTCTGGGACCTGTCATGTGTCTCAGAAGACGCTGTACCATTCACAAAGCGCAGCGCTTCTCGCGCATGCGCACTGGGCATCCGGCTGTCACAGCCGAGAGCCCACACTAACAAAGTCGGCGCGGGAAGACTTCACAGCGCTGGACCGAGGTAAGGTCCTACTGCACAGAAGAGCTGAGCCGCCAGCCCGGTATTCTGACATGGCAGCGGTGGAAATACCGGACCGGCCGCTCCATATTTGCTCCATAAGACACACTGACATTTCCCCCCCTTTTTTTGGGGGAAAAAGTGCATCTTATGGAGCGAAAAATACGGTATATATACACAACATTTTATATATACTATATTTTCAAAAGTATTGGGATGCCTGACTTTACATGCACATGAACTTTAAAAGCATCCCAGTCTTAGTCTCAGGCACTGATGTCAGATGAGAAGGCCTGTGTTGCAGTCTCCACCCTAATTCATCCCAAAGGTGCACTGGTGTGCAGTCATGTTGGAACAGGAAAGGGGTATCCCCAAACTGGTGCCACAAAGTTATGAGCATGAAATTGTCCAAAATGTCTTAGTATGCTGATGCCTTAAGAGTTCCCTTCACTGGAACTAAGGGGCCAAGCCCAAACCCTGAAAAACAACTCCACAGCATAAACCCCCTCCACCAAACTTTACACTTGGCAAAATGTAGTCAGACAAGTACTGTTCTCCTGGCAAACGTAGGTAAGGGGCTACAGCATCCTGACTTCCCCGCCGCCGTTGGCCGCCATCTTCACACACATGGTCAGTTTCTTGATTTATCCTTTTCTTGTACGATTTTTATCTTTGTTGGAATAAAATTACCCCATTGAATGCAGTAGCACGCCATGTGGCATTATTCTTTGGTTGTCTGCGAGTCTCACCACTCGCAGAGGCCAGTTTAGAAGTGTCCTGAGATCGTGATACCATTGGAGCGGTCCTCAAAGACACAAGCGTGGGAACCTGACTACACCTGGAAATGATCATCCTGACTGACCTGATGAGATGATTATGATCTCAAATGTGTTTTGTTAACGCACTTCTGGTAAGTGCGCAATTCATTCATTTATTTTTATGATTTCCTCATACCATCAAATAGAAGGAACTACAGTCCTCAAATTTTGATCTTATAGGACTCAGAGTCTACAATTATACACAGTGCTGCACTATTCTCTGTATATCATTAATTTCAAGGGTTCTGTGGTACCTTTAAGAGTCCAAGCTGCTGTCATTTTATATAAGCGCTCGCATACTCCTATTGTTTGAATATATATACATACGCACACACACACACACTGGACTTTTAAGGTGCCAGGACACAATATAGAAATTAGTAATACAGTAAAAAAAATATTTTAAACAACCTAAAAAGATTTCTATTTATAGAAAATTTCACCCAAATTAATAACCTCATACATACACTAACAAGCTAAGTTAAATGTCTTTACAGTTCTGAATGTAAGAAGTTAAAGAACTTAATACATAGTGCCATTAAGTCTGTCAGAATTGTCATTACAAGAGATCCTAAAAAAATCAAATAAAGAAGTTATATTTCACCTTTCCATGTGTATAACAAAGTTCTGATATTAGGTGCAGAAAACATTTAAGCCATTGAAAAACATGCCCTAAGGTTTCCTCACTGAACAAGGGAAGCAACATCCCTGTATGCCTACTATATGGTTTTGACAGACTTACTGAAGCTACCTAATCAGTTCCGGTGGTCCAGGATCACCTTATTTATTATTTATATGTGACATTTAGTCCTCATGCACACTGGACGTTTTTACAGTACTGTTTTTGGCTTTTGAAGTTTTTTTCTCCAGCATTTTATCCTATGTGTCCATGTACACATAGACTGTAATCAACGTTTTTTGGCAGGGATGTTTTTTGCTGGAAAAAACCCCAGGACTAGTGGGTTTCTAGAGGAGATTTTTAGCTGTAAAAATGCTCTAACGCTGAAAAACGTAGCAAAACACAGTATATTGCGCAAACAGTGTTTTTGGACGCTTTGACCCCCCAAATTTTTTTGCTAAAAACCGCAAACGCAAAAAATGTGGCAAAACGCCGCTGAACGTTGATACAAAAAATGCAAAAAAAACCCTGAAAAACTCATGTTTTTTAACGTGACTTTACACAGCTAACATTACCAGCGTTATTAAAACGTCCAGTGTGCGTGGAGCCTTAAGTGCCATGTCATTTGGTGGAATGTCACACCTAAAAACTCTTCCTGCCACTGCTTCTTGTCACAAAAGACACATTTGTCTTTTTCTGCAACCTACAGTGACCTGATAACATCTGCCCATTTGAACCTATCCTGTTTCCTTCAGTCAGTTTGTGAGTGCTCATGTCCCAAACACATGAGAAGTAGCACCTCTGTATCAGTCCCTCCAAATCATGGTCTACTAAACAGCTTTGGGGTGGCCTGCAGTTTTCCTTCTGAAGCACCTGACACCAACAGCCCAAAACAATGTCCCCTGCTTAGTTCCACAATTCCACAGTCTTTTATAGCCTCATAAGGTATGGTCCCCCCGTTGGTTCTAACCAGGGAGGATTTCTCCACAGTTATTCAAGATTTCATGGTCCAAATTGCAAATTTGACTGCAAAGGTACCTGTATAAGAAAAATTAATAATAGCGCCTATGGTCAAAATTGTATAACTTACTAATAGTGTACCAGCTGCAAAAAAACCACCATATATAAAGTGTACCAATTAATAAATAATTTGCGCTAGTAAATATATATAAAATATATGTAAAGAAATCATCAAATCATAAGTCCAGAAAAATATATATATATACCAATACCACAGAAAAATATAAAAAAAATATAAAAAACTTTTAGGTGCAAAAAAAAAACTTTTGTGCAAAAGGAGTGTCTCAATATAAAAAAAGTATCTCAATATAAAAAAATTTCACCAAAAAACCTTGATAATATAATGGCAGATCATCCATAAAAATATCTTCAGAAACGGAAGCTCTCCAACACACCGATCCTCATCGATCGAAATAACAGGACGAAAAACTTTGTAGTTAATCGAAAATCCACTTCTCTAATAGAAAAAGGACCACCTTCAAACGTATCCATGGGGGGAAATGCCAAGCACTCGAGAGAAACAGAAAGACTTCATGGTGCAATATTATAAAAACCAATTCCTTTATTAGATACTCATTGCACTTACTCAAGAGGTGTCCCAGCCGACACCAGCATCAACAGCATCAACAGCAATCACATAAACGAGCCTGACTACTCAGCACATGTGCAATAGCTGGCAGTCAAAAACGTAATGACATCACATCAATCAAGCTCCACCCAGCTTGGGCGGAGCTTGATTGATGTGATGTCATTACGTTTTTGACTGCCAGCTATTGCACATGTGCTGAGTAGTCAGGCTCGTTTATGTGATTGCTGTTGATGCTGGTGTCGGCTGGGACACCTCTTGAGTAAGTGCAATGAGTATCTAATAAAGGAATTGGTTTTTATAATATTGCACCATGAAGTCTTTCTGTTTCTCTCGAGTGCTTGGCATTTCCCCCCATGGATACGTTTGAAGGTGGTCCTTTTTCTATTGGAGAAGTGGATTTTCGATTAACTACAAAGTTTTTCGTCCTGTTATTTCGATCGATGAGGATCGGTGTGTTGGAGAGCTTCCGTTTCTGAAGATATTTTTATGGATGATCTGCCATTATATTATCAAGGTTTTTTGGTGAAATTTTTTTATATTGAGACACTTTTTTTATATTGAGACACTCCTTTTGCACAAAAGTTTTTTTTTTTTTGCACCTAAAAGTTTTTTATATTTTTCTGTGGTATTGGTATATATATATTTTTCTGGACTTATGATTTGATGATTTCTTTACATATATTTATAAAGGTACCTGTATGCAGGGCTGCTGATAAGAGGGTACCTCCAGGCCTCCTGTAGGGGGCCCGGGCCCTGTTACTTTGACAGAGGGGCCCTGCAACCTGGCAGCTTCAGGTTTCTACATGCTTAGTACAGAAGCCAATAGCGCTGCTTATCTAAGCATGGGGGAGGGACAAGACAAATATATTGCACTGGCTACAGCGACAGTTGCTCCTCCTCCCACCCATCCTTAGACAATCAGCAAACACTAACACCCCCCCCCACATTCTCCAGCTCCCCACATTTGACTGTATATGGGAGATGCTGGTGGCTGGGGCGGGGCTGAAGGGGGGCGCCGGGAGGGGAAGACACAAAAAACCTGAAGCCCAGGAGCTACAAAAAGAATGTACGATCAGAAACAACTGTGTTACTGATCACTTGTAATGCTGGCCGATATTATCAGCATGTTCAGGCAACGTGCAGGTCACACAGGATACATACATGCCTCCCCTCTGTATTGTCTCACTCTGTACTCTTTTGCTTTTTTTAATAACTCATATAAAGTGACAGTGAATTTACAAATTTATCCTAATATACAATAACTGTGAGATATAATATCTCTATATACCTTTGTCCCAAAAATGAAAATTATTATTTTTTTATATATCCAGTCCACTACAAAATAAAATCCACTCAAATTTATGTACAATCCACCAACTAAAAGTCCAAAAATTTCTTCCAACGATGTCCCAAAATATATCCACCTCAAAAAAAGGAAAATCAAATAGTGTATTACCCTTTATACACATCACAATTTCCATATAATTTATATAGTGAATATCCGTGAAAAAATAGTGAAAAACGTGAAACAAACGTGAATCAGTGAAAA